TGAGATAATTATAACAATAAAAGATTGGATCATTTGGTTTTTCTTTGTTGCCAACTTTATTTTTGTTTTTTATAATTATTTTAAACTTTATATTAAGATTTGACACAGTTTTTAATTATTTAAAACTTTAAAATAATTATTTTGTGATTTTTGCTGTTCAGTTTTTTTTTTTTTTTGCATGGTCAGCATTGAGGAGAGAGTAACACATTTCACTGAAGCACTTTGTGTGTGAGTGTTTATTGGATATGTGATTGTGATAAATGTTGGCAGTTGCTTAAAAAGTATGCTATATACCAGGGGTGCTCAATCCTGTTCCTGGAGATCTACCTTCCTGCAGATTTCAGTTGCTATCCTTATTAAACACACCTAAACCAATTAATTAGGACCTGAACACCACTTGATAATTACAGGCAGGTGTGTTTGATATGGGTAGCAACTGAAATCTGCAGGAAGGTAGATCTCCAGGAACAGGATTGAGTACCCCTGCTATATACCATGGGGGTCAAACTCCAAGTTCCTGGAGAACTGCAGCGCAGCAGAGTTTAGTACCCACCCTGCTTCAACATTACCTGTAGATTTCTAACAAGCCTTAATTAGTTTGATCAGGTGTGTTTAATTGGAGTTACAGCTTAAAGTCTCGGTCACACTGCACTTTTCTCCCTATAGACTTCCATTCATACGCATGTGAGTACTGCAGACCTGGAATGATAGCTCATGCGACAAATTTCATAATTCGCAGCATTGGAAAGTTCAAGCTTGGAGAACGCTGACATGCGAAATAACATCATGTGATTGCTTGAGACCAATCAAAGATCAAAACATGACCTCTCTGGCTTGCTTTTTCAATCTCTAATTATTTTGTTTAATTCCACTACTCGCTTTGTTTAATTCCACTTTGCAGTGCAGTATGACAGAATTTTGCTTGCTCAAATGTTAGTGTGACCGCAGCCTTACTGTGCAGACCTGTAATATACAAGACAATATTTATATCTGCTGATTTCTTAATTTTGTTATACATTTTCTGTTATTTATTTGTTTGGTGCCAAAACAAAATAAATTTGTCTGAAAAAAATATTATGCCTTCTATTTTTAAATAACAGTTAAGAATACTGATTAATTTTAGTAACACTACAATAACTATATATGACATACTATTAATGTGTATGCAGTATAATGCTGTGATTTGTAACACTACAATACAGTAATTAACTGTACACAGTTTCCAGTTAGTTACCACTACTGCTCTATTAGAGTAATTAACTGGCAACACTGTTGCCAGCTACTCACTGTATCGGTTCAGTTACAGTAAATAACTGGCAACACTGTTGCCAGCCACTCACTGTAATGGTTCAATTATAGTAATTAACTGGCAACACTGTTGCCAGTTACTTACTGTAACCAAACTTTTACAGTGAGTAGCTGGCAACAGTGTTGCCAGTATTCTACTGTAAAAAAAACCCTGTAAGGTCTAACAGTGTACTTTATTAAGTTGACAATCTGCCCTTGTAATCATCTGTTGAGTGAAAAGTGATTAAAGTTTCACTGTCACTAATGGTATAGGCTAATTTGTGTGTGTTTGAAACCAAATCTGAATAGTACATACTTTGGAATACTATAGAGTTATGCAAAAAAAGAGAGCAAGGTCAAAGCTTAATGGGGCAAAAACATATTAGAAGGCAACATGCTTAAATTTATAACCGCAAGGGCTTGAAATTAACACCCGTCAAATGCGGCTAGATTTCAGCTGTGGTTGATTGGACAACCACTCCCATTCAACACTTTGGCTGGTTGAAAATAATTTCTAAATTGTAGTTGTCCTTAAAAGCAAGGTTCAACATGGGGCTCACATGAGAGATCTTTGGGACAGCCTGATTGGATCAGTACTGGTTCATCACTAACAATTAGAGTTTTAGTTTATGACCGTTTGTCAATATGCGTGCAGATGCAATCTTAGAATCAAGAAGCAGCACGACTGACAAAAATAACTGTTCACACAAGCAAGAGAAAGCAGGTGATAACCGAATGAAAGGATGATCACGCATGTTTACCTGTGTTTAAAAACCTTACGGGCTCCCATTTCCTTACGTGAAGCAACCATGCCTGGAAATGTAAGTGGTGTGATCAGTTCTCTTTTAAATAGACTGGACAAAAAGCAATGCTTGTACACTCACAGCTTTTAGGAGCCTGAGATTTAAAAAAATAAATAAAAAATACCAAGTAGCAGGGGTTTAACCATTCTTTGAATTCTGCTTTCATTTGCTTACAGTTATTTTTGTAAATAAGATCTTATTATCATCCTTTACAATTACATTAATTTAATAGGAGATTAACTCTCCATGTACTCTTATGTACAGTGGTCCCTCGCCATAACAATGTTCACTTTTCGCAGTCTCGCGGTTTTGCTGTTTTTTTGTGCAATTTGACATGCTTTCATTGTGTTCTGTGTCCTGACTGGCTGTAGACTATTGTTAATCAATCTCCTCTTTGCCAAGTCACTTGTAAGGTACAATGCATCCAGCTTGCCAAATTGGCAAAAATCCTTAACTCTTGCAGTGTGACTCTGAAGTGCTGTACTGTATGTTTACAAGTTCTTACAACAAACTCCATAATGTCAACAAAACATTCTGCATTATCACATGCACCCACAGTAGCACCCAAATGGCAGTGAAAGATGCTAACCATCGCACAAAAAGTTGGACTTCTGGACATGCTAAAGGTAGGTAGAAGTTACGTGAGTGTTTTAACAAGAGAAAAAAGTTTAAAGATGTTAATGCCTGTCTGACAAAAGTGTATAAACTGTATAGTGAGGGGTTTTACAGCAAAAATAATTGTAAAAATTGTAAAAAATAAAAATAAAAATTTATAAAATAAAGCTGACTACCTCGCAGATTTCACCTATTGCAAGCTATTTTTTGAACACCACAAGTCACAGTGGTTGTTATAAAAAAGTTAATATCACGCCATAATTACAACTTTTGAGAGTGAAGTGAAAAAATTAATGAAAAATATTCCTTTGTGTCACAACATTAGATTCTAGAGCTTTCCTCTTATTTGTTTTGCAGTGGCGAACTTCACTCATTTCTGCAAGGGGAACTGACTGCAGAGCCAACATGGGCAGAGATGAGCTCCTGTCAGGGAGAGCTTGAGCTCCTGCTTCTCCTTCCTGCACTTCCTCTACAAGTGACATCATTGGGGGCTGGGGTTAGTTGTGGGGAAGTTGTACATGTTAAAACAGATTATCAGAGTCTAAACACAGTCACATCACACTTACAGCAGAGAATTCTGTCCAGCTTAAACCAAAGCACATGACAGACAATTCTCAGGTGAGAACACTTGAAAGAGGAGATACAACCAACAGTTTTCCCCTGTGATTTATTTATATATATATTAGGGCTGTGCAATTAATCGAAAATCCGATTTCGATTTTGGCTTCAAACGATTATGAAAAACCATTAATCGAGATAAACGATTATTGCATCATATACCACCCCCTTTCCAGTTGAACAAATTTGTTTCTATTAAAAGAGCGAAAGATCGCATGCTTATGTGTGTATGCATGAGGTCAGCATTCGGTCTCATTCGCACACTGAGACGGGCAGAGCGCACACATCTAAAGTCATCTTAACGTGAGCGATTTAATGGTCAAATAGGTGTCAATATGTCATATATATATATATATATATATATATATATATATATATATATATATATATATATATATATGAAGAGTTAAGATGCTAAAACCTCAATGTCATTTGATATGTTTTTCTAAATTATCATTTTTCTCAGACTCCTGTGAGTAGGCTTAATAATTTTACTTTTTGCTTTAAAGTGAAATAACTGAACATAAACATAGGAAGCTGAAAAAAAATTTCATTTTAGGAGCAAATTTTAGACGGCATTTATGTTTTTGCAACGGAACGCTACATACATATACAGTTGAAGTCAGAATTATTAGCTCCCCTTTGATTTTCTTTTTCTTTAAGTTATATTTTTTCCAGATAGTCTACAGAACAAAACATCATTATACAATAACTTGCCTAATTATACTAACCTGCATAGTTACCCTAATTAACCTAGTTAAGACTTTTAGTGTCTTAAAAAATATCTAGTAAAATATCTACTGTCATAATGACAAATATAAAATAAATCAGTTATTAGAAATGAATTATTAAAACTTTGTTTAGAAATGTGTTGAATTAATCTTCTCTTCATCAAACAGAAATTGGGGAAAAAATAAACAGGGGTGCTAATAATTCAGGGGGGCTAATAATATATATATATATATATATATATATATATATATATAGAATACATAATAAGAATATAGTATCTTGTTTGCCCAATAAAAGTGTATTCTTTTATTCAACATAAATCATTAACAACCAATATTACAATATGCAACAATCAAAGATGACATTTGTTAAAAATTATTTTTTACAAGGATAGACTGTAAACATATATGTAATAAGAAAAGAAGGACTATATCATGCATAATGATATGTGCTACATATCAAGTTTGAGAAAAGAACACACAACACAAATAAAGGCAACAAGTAAATGCTGCTAACATTAGTTTCCTGTATTTGTATGTCTAGCTGTATGTCTACTTTACAGGTAGCTCAAACTCTGCATAGGAGCTAATTTAGTTCCCAAAAGGTATTCCATTTAAAATCATTCCTAGTTCCAGTGGTGCAAAGCCTCTACTGTGTAAATGGAATTGTTTTATTATTATTTAAGAATTAAAAAAACAACAGCAAGTCTTGAAAATACTGAAGCTCAGATTTGCATGAACCTGCTTGACAGCAGGCATAGGAGATTACATGATGGACCAACAGAGTATTGATAGTTTAAATATTATAGATAGTGTAAATTGTCATAACGTGTCATCCATCAAAGTCTTTACTTGTCTGTCAGTTACTTGACATTATCAAGATAAATTTGGTCTGACTCAGTGAAGAAGTGAATCATATATATAAATATATACTTCCTGGCCTCACCATAGCACTGATGCAGCGTCCACAAACAGTTGTCTTGAATTCACTGTGCATCTCTTTGACAGCACTGGTGGTGTAAAAGCCCTCGGCCAGTAAGATGATGCCATACAGGAAGAATAAACAGGCAATTCCATAGATGATGTACTGCAAAATCTGAACCCTATATAAAAAAAGACAGATTTAGTAAATATGTAAATATGAGAGACCTACAGTAGGCTGAACATTATGACCTCTACATTATCGAATATTTTATAGAGAAACAGAGCTCACCCAATTGTATGATTTATGATTGTTTTTCATGCAAAGACCAGTTTATATGAAATTCAAGATCAACACAATACCAAAGCATAAAAGTAGCGGATTTAGATGACATTGAGTTTCTGCTCAGTAAATAATTGAAGCTGTGATTATTTACATTTTGAGGGCTGCAGATGTACAGCAATTGGATTTTATCTGAGGTACTGTGTATACTGCACAGGATCATTAACACTAAATTTGTACACAGGAAATCAAAGAAAACAAGTCAGTTTGCTTCCAGTAAAGCCCAGAATGACACAATGTAAGAGAACATACTGACATGTATTTGCTGGAACTCTAGAGGTCATTACTCACCACATACATGTCATTGTGTTGAAGCATATAAAGTGATTTGGTGCTCAAATATATAAAACAATATAGTGAGTGTTAATTAAGGTCACTGAAGGGTTATCACATCTGTATGGTTTTGATCCTGTTTCCCAGTGTTTAGTCTTACATCAAATCACTTTTCGATCAATTTTTCTCTTAGTTAATTTGGCTCTTTATGCCTGTATTATTTATCCTGAGCTAGTTTTTCTTTGTACACTTTTTCCTCCATCAAATGTTTGCATCTATATCACCTTTATTTTTTATATTAGTTTCATTGTCTTTGTAATTTAGTTCACCTTTTGTTTTAGTGAGTTGCTGCACTGTAAGAAAAAACAAACAAATTTTACAGAAAATATCCTTAAATTTTTGCACAGAAATTTTTTGTCATTTCACATTATATTCAAAACTTAGTAAAATGACAACCAATCTCTCTAAATTAAACGTTTGACTTTCATTTTAGGTACTTTATTATTAAAGACAAATTACTGACATTTGTGTTTTTTATACAGGGAAATTACTGTAATACAGTATTTTTTCTGTTATTTTAAATTATATTCAAAAGTTCATAAAAATTACAAACATTATCTGTAAATTAACGGCTTGACTTATTTTATGTACTATATAAGTAATGACAAATAAGTAAATTACAGCAATTTGTCTGTTTTTTATAAAAAAATTGACGTATTATTTACAGTGTTTTTTCCTGTTTTTTAAGTACATTTAAAATGACTTAAAATTAAAGTAATAAATTGTAATTACTTGCTCTGTAAAAACAATAAATAAATCGTAAAAAAAGGTCAAATGACTGGCAGCTACGGCTGCCAAACAAAACCCATAAAATTAAGGTAAAATTTCTTTGTTGAAAAAAAGTGCAAAAAATAATAAATCTACAGATATTTTCATTAAAATGTTTACAGAGAAACACTGTTATTTTACAGACTTTTGCTAGATTATTACGATCAAATTCATTTAATAAAGTAACACACTAAGAGTGCTCACATACACCTGTTTCAGATTCCGCTGATTGCACACACACAGTCGGAGGATCGTTATGAACTGATTACATGCACTTTAAAAGCACCACAGACGCACGCACCAATTGCTTAGTCTTGTTATACTGCAACTGTGATCATTATGACGCGTTTCTCTTCTTTTGCCTTGCTTTGTTTGTTAATTGTTTACATTCTTTGCTGCCAGGACTGATCATTTGCTTGTTAATTAACCATGACTCTGGATTCACTGCATACATCTGTTTGCAGTTTACCCCTGTGTTGACTTGTTTGCCTGACCATCTCTGTGTAATAAACCTGCATTTGAATCTGCACTTCTTTGTCAGGGTACCCTCCACATTATAGTTCCATTTCATTTAAGATTTGGAACTGAATCATTTCATACAACTTTAAACCTCTACATGTTTTGAAGTAATACTATTCAATAAAATGTAATATTATAGTTGTGAGATTTTTAATCAGTTGTATCTCGTTTGATGTTTTTTCCAAACTTTTTTGATCCAAAATAAAACTGTTAAATTACGACCAATAGCATGTCTTGGCATTTTATTAAAGGCGTTTAATTGTAAAAAAAAATTTAAATAACATTGTTTTCTCATGAACTTTTAGTGCAGTCACTTTATTGATGGTGTTCGATCATAATAATCTAGGAAAAGTCTGTAAAATAACAGTGTTTCTATGTAAAATTCTTATTGTGTTACTTTATTAAATGGATTTGATAGTAATAATCTAGGAAAAGTCTGTAAAATAACAGTGTTTCTATGTAAAATTCTTATTGTGTTACTTTATTAAATGGATTTGATAGTAATAATCTAGGAAAAGTCTGTAAAATAACAGTGTTTCTATGTAAAACTCTTATTGTGTTACTTTATTAAATGGATTTGATGGTAATAATCTAAGAAAAGTCTGTAAAATAACAGTGTTTTTCTGTAAAAATTTTAAAGAAAATATCTGTAGATTTATTATTTTTTGCACTTTATTTAAACAAAGAAATTTTACTGTAATTTTATGGTTTTTGTTTGGCAGCCGTAGCTGCCAGTCATTTGACCTTTTTTTTACGATTTTTTTTTTTTTTACAGTGTGGTGTTTAAAATGCTGTGATTGTTGAGGTTGTGTTGGACCTGTCTGATAGCTAGTTTATCTGCTTGAAGTCATTAAATATTGTTTTATTATCTGCCTGTTTTTCACACGTTCTCTCTATCATGGTAGTGTGAATGGTTAGCAGTTTACAAAATTCCTCAAAAAAACTTACATTGTGTTGAACTTAAAAAAAAACATAAAGGTTTGGAACCAGTTGAGGGTGAGTAAAAAATGAATATTATCTTGTCTTTTTGGTTAAACTTCCTTAAGAGATTGAGAAAACACAACTCGTCCTCACAGGTTATCTTAGCCCAGGTTTCATGAAATTTCAAATTAAATCTTGGATGACACTGAATTTTGTCCATTTTAATTATTCTAAGGCCGAAGTGATGGTGTTTGGCCCCAGTTCCAACGTCGCTCATACTGTACACCTAAATAATCTCAAAACTTTCTGTAAGCCAGAGATTGTGAACCTGGGTGTTGAAATGGATCCTGAACTAAAGCTTAAAAGCCAGATTCGGTCTGTTGTTTGCTCTAGCTACTTTCACTTGAGACAACTGGCCAAAATTAAGCACTTTTTATCGCACAAGCACTTTGAAACAGTAATCCATGCTTTTATAACCTCCTGCTTAGACAACTGCAATGCCCTTTATTTTGGGGTGAGTCAGTCTTCTATCTCTTGACTTCAACTTGTTCATAATGCAGCTGCACGTCTTTTAACTGACACACGCAAATACGAGCAGATCACCCCGATTTTATCTTTTTTTCACTGGGTGCCCATGCATTTCAGGATTTATTTTAAGTTACTTTTATTTGTTTTTAAGTGTCTAAATAATACTGCACCCCTTTACCTCTCTGAGCTTCTCTGTCCTTACACACCTTCTCGTTCGCTCAGGTCAGCCGACCAGCTCCTTCTGGGTATGCCCAGGACCAGTCGAAAGCTCAGAGGGGATCGGGCTTTTGCCGTGGCTGCACCAAAATTGTGAAATGAGTTGCTGTTGTATATTAAACAAGCCTCTTCCATTACTGTTTTTAAATCTCTTCTTAAAACTCACTTGTGTGAGATGTTGACATTTTATGTTCATTTATTTGTATTTTAAAGTTTGTTTTGTTACACTTTATATTAAGTGTTCTTAACTACTATGTACTTACATCAAAAAATAAATACAATGTACTTACTGTGTTTATAATGTATTTGAGAACACGTGGTGCATTTGAGTTGGGATAGAGGTTGGGCTATGGACAAGTTTGGTGGCATGGGTAGGTTTAAGGGTAAGTTAAGGTGTAAGGGATTTTCAACAGTATATTTACAAATGTAATTACAAAAGTAAATTACAGATGTAATTACATACATGAATTTAATCAAGCTTAAGTACACAGTAAATACTGTACATGTATTTACACAATAAGTACATTGTAACAAACTATTCATTCCTGTGTAAGTACATATTAGTTAAGGCCACTTAATAGAAAGTGGGACCGTTTGTTTTAGTCTCTGTTGTCAGCACTTTGGTTGACTGTGTTGCTTTAAAATGCTTTATAAATAAATAAATTGAATTGAATTGAATTCAAATACATATTAGAAATATTTTTCACTGTTGGTTTATGCTAACATATTTAGTGTCTTATAAATCCCAGCTTGGACAGATAAGCGGCCATCATGATGAGAGTGTCATGAGCTAATGATATGGGGATCACCTGGCTTAACCCTTACAAAAAATTACTGCAGTATTTTTTTTAAGAATACTGCAGTTTTTAAAGAAATAATGCAGTATTAGTTGACTTCTGAAAAGTTCAGATTTTTGGACACAAAAAAACTGTTATTTAAATATATATTGCAGTATTACTGCAATACAACTGAAGTACTATAATACAACCAACTGCAGTACATTTACTGCAATACAGCTAAAGTACTACTACAGTACAAATGCAGTACAACTACTACAGTAGTATTAAAGTGATACTACTATAATGCAGTACAGCTACTGCAATGGTCTTGAAGTACTACAACTACTATAATGCAGTACTGCTACTGTAATACAACTGAAGTACCACTACAGTACAACTACCATACTACAATTGTAATACAACTGCAGTTTAACATCTACTTTTCCTGTTCAGTAGACAATGGTTTTCAAAAAAGGTTTCAGTACTTTAGTTGTATTGCCAAAGTACTAAAACAATATATTGTGTTGCAATTTTCAGAAGTATAAGTACAGAAATACATCTACAATTTTGCAAGATATAATAAAGCTAAAGTGCACTGTTAATACTTATGTACCTAAGTTTACATATATATAACATACATAACATATCACTATATTGCCTCTCATTTTATTTAATGTTATGTCACTTACTGCAGATTTTACTGCTGTTGAACTTTATTGCACTGTAGTTAACTGTATTTATACCTCATTGTACTGCAATTTTGCAGTTGCATTGAATTTTACCACAGCTTGTATATAGGCTACTGCTGTTGTACTGTTCAGTTCACTGCATTCATTTTTGCAATTAAACTCTTTAAATTCTTAAAAAAACAAAAAACATCCCTGAAAAAAGTACAAAATATATCTGGAAGCTGTTGTAGCACAAACCCCTTGGAACACAAGTGCAGTACAGTTCTTCCCACACTATTGGCATCTTAGAATACAGCAGCACAAGCGCAGTAAAGACAGAGTTTTCTTGTTTTTACTCCAGTTTACTACAACTTGTACTGCTGGTGAACTTTATTTTACTGTATTTAAACTGTGTTTATACTTCATTGTACTGTATTTTTGCAATTGTACATAATTTTACTGCAGTTATACGTCTATATACTGTGGTTATACTGCAGTTTTGTTTTGTTTTTTGTAAGGGAAACCATGACCCAATGAGTGGTACAATATGGTGCAAAAGGTTCACAAGGAGGGCCTGATAAAAAGAATGAACTCTTGTTGGGCTGATAGGCCTTTGCTGTATGGCTCCACAAAAAAAATTATGACGAACTAGAAAATTACTCTCACTTGAAGTACCATCAAATGGCTCAAGTGGATGTTAGTGAAAGAAGCGCATTTGTAACACATTTTTTGCTAAAAAGGACTACAAAGAGCTGAACTGAAGGTGAAACATGGCAACATCATGTATAGTTTGGAAGAAACGATCCAACCCACTCTATTGGCTTTCTACTATGGTAGGCTGCCTCCTCATAATTTCTGAACTTAATAAATAAAAATACAAAACAATATAAAACAATGCCCAAAAGATGCTTTCATCAAGTGTTTTACACACGTTTTATGTGGCCCATATATACGTTTAGCAGAGCACTCTGTTGGCAGCTCTCTGTCCATTTAAAAAAAGAGTCTTTTTTTTCCAAGTAAAAAAATGCAGTGCTTTGCACCTCATGTTTTCAGAACTGAAAGCATGTTCCACATCCAACATCAAATCCTTCATTACAGGTAAAGTTCTTTTTCTTTTGTTTCGGTACCATAATTGTCTCTTCTGAATTCATAATTTGTCTTCTAATAATTTAATCTTTGGACAAGTACCACTTTGTGTCAAGCCCTTATATGGAGCTGTTTGGGGGCATATTATGCAAATTAATAAACTTGTATAACACGCAGGTGCTCATTTAGAACACACCAAATTCGTGACAAGTTCAAATGTGCATATAAATAAGAATAACATATGAGACCCATTGTTTGTTTTTAGTCAGTTGTCAGAATTGAACATAAGTCCTTTACAAAAAGGGGATCATTTGTAATAATAACGTCAATGGAGTGGGTTGGGTAGCTTTACCTGTGGCTTTTAAATTATGACATGTTGTGCTGTCTATGATTACTATGGGTATAAAGAGATATAAAAATACATCAATGCATATTGCTTAGGTAAACTAATATTAAGAGTGTTTTATCCAAGAGTCAGCTTACAGTGTTTATAAGGTATATTTCACATTCCCTGTTTGTGCACTACATCGTATAATTACATATTTGTGGGTGAAAATGTTCCTTTGAATAAATCAATATGCAATGAGTGGCTTAATTGTTTGAATGTTGAAACTTTCATTGAATATAAACATTGAAATAATTCAAGAGAGAGTCTGATAATGACAAATGTATGATTTTACCAGTGGAAATGATCCGGAGTTAGTGACAGAGAGCAAGCATATTTGTCTAGGATAATCAGTTATCCAACTTCAGAATTTATGAAGAGACCAATTTAAAGTCTGGATCCAATCTAAAGTCCACCACCCCAGGTGTGTACAAAATGTAGCATTTTAATCAACAGCTGGCTTGCATGTTAAAGTATTTTACTATGTTTGTGAAATATCAATAATATTTAAAACTAATAAGAAAATATAGTTATAATACGATATCAAGATATTTTGAAATAATATTAATACATAATGAACATGACTTGAGTGTAACAATGCACAAGCATTACTCTAGAAGAGTTCCCAATTGCATCAGCTCATGACAGTGCTGAATTACCTATGGAAGAGAACTAATATTAAATAATTGGAGCATTATTTAGAAGTGTCACCAATTCCTTTCTTTTTCATCTGTCTAAATATGCCCTAATCTAACAATTATCACACATCAAACATCTCACAGTAGGAATATAAATTCATAAGCATTTCTACAAACTGACTTACACATCAGTGAGAGCAGCATGATCAGAAGAGATGCGAGAAAAGTGGTTTTCCACCATAGTCACAGTCCCTGTAAGTGCCACATGCCCACAGCCGCAGAACAGAGCCACTCCTGAAAAGCACAAGATGGTGGCCACCAAAGAGGCATATGGGACACCACCCAGACATTTGATGCAACACTCGAAGCACCCTGTAGGAGGAGAAAAAAGAGAGTTTGTTGGAGTGCTGTTGAAATTCAGACCAGCAACTGCTATTTGCTAACACTTGTCACTTCGAATATAATATTTGAGGCAAAGGCAGAGATTTTTTTGTTTGGTTGTTTGGCAACCATGCTATTCCCACCTTAAAATATGAAGTTCATAAATCAGCAAACATCTATGACAAGCCATTTCACATCACAATATATGTTGTGAAACTGTTGGACTGTAACATCCTGTTGTACCTGATATTAAGGAGCAATTTGACTGGTTTAAAATTAGACAACAGAGAACGATTACAGTTTACACATGGTGTTTTATTCTCTCTGGTGTTTTATTTTTATTCGTACACTTTTAATCAGTTTCCGAGAAATAAGAGTCTATAGGAAGAAATATAGAGAGAGAGGTTCTCACACACACATATTAACACAGGAGTTGGGCAATGAAATTGAAACACTGGCCAATTTGGTATTGGAGGTTTCATGGCTAAATTTGACCAGCCTGGTGACCAATCTTTTTTGATTGCACATTCCACCAGTAAAGCTACGGTCACACTAGAGTTTGAGCATGCGATATTCTGTTGTGCCGCGCTGCGAAAAGGGGTGGGATTAAACAAGCTTATTAGACACTTTTAAAAGTGAAAGATTGCTCCATGTTTTCAGTTTCTGTCCAGAGATGACATGTTTTGATCCTCGATTGGTCTTAAGCAGTCAAGTGATGTGATTTCGCAGGTCAGAGTTCACCAAGCTTGAACTTTGCACCGCAGTAACCTGTGAAACTTAACGGATGACCCCGCATTTCCAGTTTGTCATCTCCTCTCTGTACAGTAATTTAAAACATGGACTAATCGCTCGCTTTTTTAAATGTCTAAATATCTTATTTAATCCCGCACCTTTTCGCAGCGCAGTACGACAGAATTTTGCATGCTTAAACTCTAGTGTGACCTCAGCTTAAGAACAGAGTGTGAAGGTATAATTAGCAAATTAATAGCACAGTTTTGCTTAAAACATTGCAATCCACACAACATAATTGGTAACAAGATGACATAGTTCAAAAGAGGACAAATTGTTGGTGCGCATTTTGCTAGCGCATCTGTGACAAAGACAGCAAGTCTTTGTGATTAACCGACAGCCACGATGCCACTATTTTTGTTTATTTTTTTTGTTTTTGTTTATTTTTATTTTTGTGGCAGAGTCCGGATAATCCTCATATCTTGTCATTTGCATGTCTCTTGTTATTGTTCGAACGTTGTTCATCACAAGTTTGTTTGTTTGTTTGTTAATGTTTTCTCCCTCGGGGTAGTGTTTTTTTTGTTGTTGTTTTTTTTGTAAAAAATAAATACTCAATTTGTAGAGTCCTCACATCTTTCCCTTTCCTCAAACCCTGACACAAGAAGGAAGAACCACATCCAACAGTAGCAACTGAGGATGCAATTGGAAGCGGTTTCATGAAGATGTCTGGTGCTAAACCGGATTGTCTCCAAAAAACATAAAACCTGTTTCCATCAGAACTGTTTGTAGATGTCTTTAGTGGAGTGCGTACAACACCATTTCATTATCCACGATAGTAAAGGAGTAAAGAGTAAAAATAGAGAATGATCTATTTAACTGTTTCATGGCTAATGAAGCATTCAGTTTTTCCACTTACAAAGTCCGCTAAGTGAATAGCAAATGCACCATGGCGTGATGCAGCTGACTATTATATTGAATGGGAGATGAGATTCTGATTGGTTTAATGCATGTTATGCTCAAAACAATGCCATAACTCATTAAGAAAATAAGCACAACCCTGTTAGACCATGCGCCAGGGCATATTTTTCCAACCTTAAAATATCAAAAGTGGATTCGGACATGCCCTAATGCTTATGCACCACGCTCTTTAGACTTTGCAACTAGATCGTTAAAATAGAGCCCTAAATCATCAAAACAATAGCCCATTTGTAGCATTTAGTTCAAGCATTGTACCCTGAAAGCAGTGCTGTCTATGTAGGATGATAACACACAAATACATACAACAAGACTGGTGACAGAGTGGTTTGATAACCATGAAAGTGAATATGAACATCTCCCATGGCTTTTACTTATCATATATGTACACACTGTATATCTAAAAACTGCAAAAGTGAAGAGCTATTATTCTAGCTGCCAAGTTATTTCATTGGTCACTCATAAATTGCGTACTATGGTAGACCGACAAAAAGCTATCAACGGAAGTTTGTGATAATACATTTTTTTCAATATATCATCAACTCTCATCCTATCCTATACTATGTTTTTGTCATGATGGGGCATGGCCAAGTGCCATGGGTACAAAATGAGGCTGGTGATGCAAGCGCAGGAGGAGCTTGCCAGGAGGACAGGTATATTTGCCACCATTACCTGAAGGGTAGACTGCTGAGGATGTCAAGGGTCTAAAGACATCCACCAAGGTGTAACGTCTCAATTTGTCAGGTGTCCAGTGCTGATGCCAAGCTGTGAGTGAGGGTATCTCAGCACGTTGAAGACCAAGCGGAAGCCTGTTTGAGAAACCAAACTTATTTCCTTTTATCTTTTTTTCTCCCCTCTTTCTCGGTCTTCTTTATCTGTACATATACATCTGCCTCCTTTCTCTTCTGACCTCCCTCCTGTCTTTCATCAGGTCAGTACAGAGATACAGGCCCCTTCCCAGAGGAGGGGAGTAAGTACAGTCCTGGGGTGCCCCCGACCTATGAGGGTTGATGAGGTATGACATGAGTAGGGCATGGCGGGACATAACAAAGTTGAAGGAACATAACAAGACTGGCGATGCAACTCAGATGTGCGTCCCATGTATGCGCCCCCTGCCTCAAGTCCCACAGGAATAAAAGTATAAAAGAATGAGTGATGACAGAGGAAAATGAGACCAGGCCTGAACACTTGTGTTTTGTTTGACTTTCAGTTCGGCAGTAGTTCCCGCCAGTTTGTTTTATGTTTTACTTTATTGTTAAAGTATTTGAATATTTGTCAGTTTCCCATCTCCTTCTTCCCATGAACGAATGAGATTGAACTGCATTAAGCTCACTGACAGGGCCATCCACTGCATGTGCACTTTGGTTAGTGATGATATAAACAGCAATTGAATTGAATGCACTATGATGTCGCATTTATTGTGCGGCACTTTCTACTTCTGATTCAAAAGATGTTTTAAGCAGCCATTCACGTACAGTTTTGCTGAGTGCATGATGTGTTTGCGTTTATTCTCCACCAATAAACAATGTAGCAAATTAATCTACATTACGCATATCTACATTAATAATCTGTAACAAATTATAATGTAGATTAAAGTGCTCACACATCTACATCATTATTACTGTAATAAATTAGCTCAAGGTTATTCTTTCCGCACCTTTTCCACCGTTATAATGTTGCGAGTTATGATTTAGATTAAAGTGCTCTCGTATCTTCTACACCATTATATATATAGCGGATTAGCTTAATGAGAGGAAGATTCATTTAAATGGGGCTTCAAATGAATCGACTCTTTAGATCCGAACCAACAAATCATCCAGCGATGCTATCAAAATAAAAACCCATAAAGTTTGAGCAGGGTAACAAGATCGAAGTTTAAGACATTAGATTCATAAATATACACAGGCACCTTTCTTTATACAAAATTAAACTTTATTGACTAATCTAACAGAAACTAACACCTAACACAAACACACATTCATACAAGTGTAGAGAAGAGTAAAGGAGGTAAAGTAAGAGGTTAAGAGGATGTAATGATGGGAAAGCCTCAGAGTTTGTAAGAGCACTAAGCGAACCAAACATAATGAAATTCACCCTTCTATTGTCTCTTTATGTTTGCATTTAGTTCACACCAGTTCAGATGTAGACAAAAGTGGATACTTGCATCTGTGTGTGAAGAAGCTCCCGTTGTTGAGCATGTGGTTCTGCTGGTTCCTTGTTCTCACGAGGGTTGGAGGGGGGTGAGTCTGTGTTTGAAATTGAAGCGGCAAAAGGGGCCAGCTGTGCTGACCACTGGTTTGCGACGCACTAACTTTACTAGACTCTCAATGGAAAATAATAGAAAATAGGTATCTGAGAGGTGAAATGTCCGAGCTGTGTGATTAACCTTTTCCGTCTGGGTCTCCGCCTGCTTTCTTGGAAGTTTCTCTGCTTAGGTCTTGTTCTTAGGTCGTTGCAGTTGAAGAAGGTTGGTTTTAGAGCGCATGGTTCAAGACTTGCAGTTACAAGAGATTTTCAGAGCAGAGCATTTCAGATCAGAGTAAGGGCGTTGCTTTGGTCCCAAGCTTTATGGGGCGGGTTCGGATCCACCCTCCATGGAAAGTTGACCAATTAGTAACTAACCTCTCTGCATCATGGTTTATGGCGCTTTGTCCGAGGCAGAGGAATTTGCATAGGCAAATTTTATGCAAATCGGGGCAGAAATGTTAAAGTCTTTTAAAATGTTAATCTGTTGCACTCGTATTAACATAAAATGTCAACAATTAATTAGTACAGCAAGTAAGCTGTGCGACAAGTCTAAACTTGAAACGTTTAAGAGCTTGTTTAGCTTCGGTACAGTTAAACATTATATACAGAAGTATTAAAACAAATAATATTGATACAGAAGCAAGGGAAACGTTGCAAAACACATGATTACACATAAAGAGAGAGTAAAGTTTACATTAAAATATCAGTCTTAAACAAGGAGCTTAAAGAAGTCCTAAACCGTTCTTTGTTCAGTGCTGCATGGCACATTCCTTTTGGGTCGTAAATACCTTGGAATCAGGTTTCGAGTCTTCCCTGGGCAAAAGTTGGCTCATTTGTTGAATAAAAAGCTAAATAATTGTGTGTCTGGTCGGCCATGTTTGTTACAATGAACACAAAGGCCAACCAGCAGTATTTAAGAATCTAGTCAACAGTGCTCATAAAGCAAGCAACAAATGCTGTTACAGTAACTAACTTTTTCATTAAAGTTCGGAACCAAATTCTATGGTCTGTAGTCATAATTTTTGGCAAGGACAGTTTCA